CCTGCTTAGTATACAGTTTAACAATTGTCCAGGCCAGTGGAATTGCAAATAGTTTGGACCTGCATGGACACTTTTTCCCTATACAACACATGGTTACCAAATAACACCAAAAGATTGATTCATTTTGGTTTCCTTGTTTGCTTTGGACCCATCGATCTTGTGACCTCCAGTACGATCTTTCATCCTGGGGGAGTTTCAGTAAGTTAGAGGCTTCCAAGGCTTGGTGTGGATGCTCAATCCAACTAATATATCATCCTTCATAATTCCTGATGACATAGAAACAACAACCCTCGAAACGCGTTGAATTGCCAGAAACAAACCCATGCTCATCATGTAATATACCAGTGATCAAAAGTCTTCTAGAGATACTTAGTTTGCATACCCTGGCAGAAATCATGACATTTTGGCATTGATATTGACTTATCATGCCAAAATAAGTATTTTATTTAAATCAGAACTCTGGTCAGAGATGTTTTTTCACCATGCAGTGTGGCTGTGCCCTCACTGCATGGATCAGCTGCTTGTTTTTTGTAGGGATGAGCACAAAGCTTATACTCACCTGACCCGCCAATCTTCAGTAAAACCGCGCTCCCCATGGTCCAGCGGTGGATTGTTCCTGTCTGTGGAGCATGCTTTGAGCATGCTGATGTCAGGAACAGTTCATTTACAAGACCGTGGGGGGGCAGGAGCCAAAGGGATCGGTCTTGTGCAGGGAGAATTGGCGGGTCAGGTGAGTATATCCCAACTGTCCTCTCCCCTAGAGCAAAACAAACAGTTAACCCATGCAGTGGGGCTGTGTCAGAGTTTTGCTCAGAATTCTCCTTTAAGGATAGTGATCATTTGAAGCCATTTATTATCACATAGTTGTTTGGCTCTTTTTTAAATCATAATGATAATAGAAATCACCCAAATGGCCCTGATCAAAAATATACATACCCTGGAATGTTTAGAATGTGCTATGCTGTCCCCACTGGGAGAAGGCAGTGATTATTGCTAGCGGTTATGACAGCCACTAGCAATAATAGCTAGTGAATCTGGCAGGCTGGATCAACTTCGAGCAACTTGGTACATTCAGCCTGCCAACACAGCTGCTGAACCAGCCGAGATTAAAAACCGTCTATGGCCAACCTTAGAATACTGTCAGGTTTTTATTGCTGTCTGTGTCCCTGAGACTGGGTTCACACTGATGCGATGAGTCACATCCCATGTGATACGCACAGGAATCGCACCCCATTCTTGTGCAAATCACACCGCATCTACACAAAACAGGCCCCTTTTTTTGCCGCACTGGAATCAGATTGCATGGTTGTTTATACCCATGTGATCCGATTCAAGCAAACGCACTGCGCTTTGCAACCTGCTTTTGGGGGTGTCATTAACTTTTAATTGATACCTGCAGCAGATCGCATGAACACAGTGCGGGTGTGATGCAGTGCAAAAAATGCAATGATTCCTGTGCATCGTATTGGTGTGAACCGATTGTCCTGATCACCTTTGCCATTGAGAATAAAAGTAAGGGTAAATCTAACATATTGGATTTGTCTAAGAGGGGATTTCCTCAGATTAGAAATTGGTTATCCTTTCACTACAAGACAGGAAGTAAAGGGAAATCTTCCTCAGTAGACGCCTATGGGCAACAAAAAACTGACTGTTTTTTTACCCTCCTCTACTCTATAAAAACTAAATAAATAAGGTTGGGTTATGCATACACTTTAAAAATGAGAGAAAATCTCTGAAAAGTAAGAATAAAGCCCATCCTTGACTTTGGACACTGAAACAGGTGTCCCCCTTTGAAGTATTCCTGTTCTGATGATAACTGTTGGTTTTTTTTTTTATTTTCCCTCATTTTTTGTCCAGCAGATAATGGTCATTAGGACAAATCGAGAGAGGAAATCTCCCCAGCAGGTACATACACATGGGTTATTTACTAAAACTGGAGAGTGCAAAATCTGGTGCAGCTCTGCATAGAATCCAATCAGCTTCCAGGTTTTATTGTCAAAGCTTAACTGAACAAGTTGAAGTTAGAAGCTGATTGGCTATTTATTTATTTATTTATTTATCGAGTTTATATAGCGCCAAAGGGTTTGCTCAGCGCTGTACAATAGAGGGGGGACAATACATGAAACAGTACAGTAACATCAAACAGCACACAATGGGTAAGAGGGCCCTACTCTTTCGAGCTTACAATCTAGGAGGGAGGGGGTAGAGGTACAGGAGGAAACGGCTGTGGGGGATGGAGTGGTAGGAGGAGGGAAGGGCAGCGGCTGTTAGGTGAGGGTGGGGTAGGCTTCCCTGAAGAGGTGGGTTTTCAGGGAGCGCCTGAAGGTGAGTAGGGAAGGTGACAGTCTGATGGATTGGGGTAGTGAGTTCCAGAGGATGGGGGAGGACCTGGAGAAGTCTTGCAGTCGTGCGTGGGAGGAGGAGACCAGGGAGCAAGATAGAAGGAGGTCCTGTGAAGAGCGAAGGGTACGGGTAGGGTGGTACTTGGGAATCAGGTCGGTGAGGTAGTTAGGGGCAGTGTTGTGAATGGCTTTATAGGTCAGAGTGAGCAGTTTGAATTTAATGCGTTGGGCAATGGGGAGCCAGTGGAGGGAGAGGCAGAGGGGGGTGGCAGAGGTGGAGCGGCTGGTGAGGTGGATGAGTCTGGCAGCTGAGTTCAGGATGGTCTGAAGCGGGGAGAGTTTGCACTGGGGTAGGCCGATGAGGAGGGAGTTGCAGTAGTCAAGGCGTGAGATAATCAGGGAGTGAACGAGTAGTTTAGTGGTGTCTGGGGTAAGGAAGGAGCGTATTTTATTTTGGCGATGTTGCGAAGGTGGAGCCTGCATGTATTTGTGAGTGATTTGACATGAGGTTGGAAGGAAAGGTTTGAGTCCAGAATGACGCCAAGGACCTTGGCTTGCTGGGCGGGATTGATGGTGGTGTTGTTGGTAGTGATGGAAAGGATGGAGGGGGGGGGCACGGGAAGGGGGAAAGACGAGAAGCTCGGTTTTGGAGAGGTTGAGTTTGAGGAAATGGAGCGACATCCAGTCAGAGATGTCGTTTAGGAGGTGAGTGATGCGGGCGGAGAATGTGGGGGTGAGGTGAGGGGTGGATAGGTAGATTTGAGTATCATCAGCATAGAGGTGGTAGTTGAAGCCGTGGGAGTGTATGAGTTTGCCAAGGGAGGAGGTGTAGATGGAGAAGAGAAGGGGTCCAAGGACAGAGCCCTGGGGGACCCCAACAGAGAGGGGGAGGGAAGAGGAGGAGGTGGCGCCGTTGTAGGAAACGCTGAAGGAGCGTTGGGATAGATAGGACGAGAACCAAGAGAGAGCGGTGTCTCTGATGCCAAGGGCTACAATGTACAGCTGCACCAGATTTTGCACTCTCCAGTTTTAGTAAATCTACCCCACAGTAACAGAAACCTGACAGGGGATCTAAACCATATAAATGCTGCGCTACATCCAAACTAATTAAAGTGAATGTGGAATTCAATAACTCAAAATTAAAATAATAACAATAATAATAAATAAAAAATGTGCTAGATGATTACAAAAATAATGACAAAACACAAACTTAAATCCATACGCATGTGCAAAAAAAAATGCACATACATATATTAAATCACACGTGCAAAAATGTGAAGTGGAATGAAAACTAAATAATAAACACAAACTCAAAGTCCAATAATGGAATATTAAAAGTGAAAAAAAGTCCAATAGTGGAATATTAGAGTGAAAAAAACTGTAAAATGTGTTTCCAATAATACTGTAAAGTGACCACAGGTGAAACAAATCGTGCAGATATCTGAGTGTAGATAGAGCTTGTGAATCCAACCACCTTCTGGATTAGCCTCTCACCTCATCTCTTCGACCCTTGCGGGTCAAAGAGCAGTAATGGATCCCTCTCACAGATCCTCCAGGCACCAAGGCACTCCAAAAAACCACTTCTCAGGATATAATATTCCCACTCAGCTCTTCTCCAGGTATAGGTGAAATATCAATTTCTCAGAACAAAAAAGAGGGATCCTCCCATAGTGTAGTAGGTTTATTATACCATAGGAACATCAGATATTTAGTAGAAATACACTTACGTAGCAGCCAGTCCACATTAGACCCTCATGCTCTCAAATGAGGATATATCTGTGTTTGTTGGGTGTACAGCTGAATCCACAGGTGTACCAAGATGGCCGCCACGCCGGAAATACGTCACCGCGCTACGCCGACGCGTTACGTCACAATATCACGTGACTTCATCAGGGCACGTGTGATTTAATATATGTATGTGCATTTTTTTTTTGCACATGCGTATGGATTTAAGTTTGTGTTTTGTCATTATTTTTGTAATCATCTAGCACATTTTTTATTTATTATTATTGTTATTATTTTAATTTTGAGTTATTGAATTCCACATTCACTTTAATTAGTTTGGATGTAGCGCAGCATTTATATGGTTTATATTCACTTGATCACTGGTATATGATTTAATGTTAGCAGCTGTTTGGGGTTCATTTATTTACTATTTTAGTTTGTTTAAACACACATTTGGAGCGCAGGAGGGTCACACCATTATTGTTACTGACAGGGGATCTATCGCTTGAATGCACCATCCAAAGCTAACAAAAAGTAGTTTTGGCTTTGGACACACTTTACAAGACAATCACATGTTAGCTGTCAGTTTCCAGTGTAAGTAAGGCAGTAAAAGGAAGAATACAATTGGTTTTGGTGTTCCCTGGATAGTTACATACTGTAGTTGAACTATGGTTGAATTAGATGGACTTGTGTTTTTTCAACCAGACTAACTAAGTAACTATGTTCTGCACTGAGATGCAGTGTCTAAGAGAAGGAGCGCATGAGATACAAATGAAACAGGATTTGGCTCAGCCAGAATTTTTTATTTTTTTTGGCTTTTTGAAGTTTGTGTATCCGGACACATGTAGACTGTCACATAGGAGTTTTTAGATGTACGTTAATTATGATATATATTTTAACTTTTTAGAAACATTCTCCATACTGTTTTTCTAGAGCTCTCTTCTAACTGCCTTCATCACACGCCAAGTTCCAAGGTTGCTGACCTCAAGTGACACAGGAGGACATGATTCAGAGGTCCCTCTGCCCGCATGGAAGGAACGCACAGGAGAAACGCCAGAGATTAAAAGAGCAAGACTATTATATGAGAGTCGGAAGAGAGGCATGCTGGAAAACTGCATTCTGCTCAGGTATTCAGTAGACAGTTTACATACTGCTTGTTATGTTATTCATAATTCACATTTGCCTAACTCAAAATCAAGCAAACTTGTCACAGATTTTTAGCATGTAAACTAAAGACAATGGTTGCAGCTTGCAGATAGTTTCAGAAGACTACACAATGCAGGCAAAAAGGATTTTTGCATGAATACAGCTAAATGTAATAGCAGTACCTTTAGTTGGAGCATACATTACTAGGTTCATTAAATAATTTCTTTCAGGTTTGCTTTAAAGTAAATCTGTACTGGATTCAAAATTCTAAACTCAGCTAATTAGCAGATAGTGGGCACAATTATACTGGAGTACTTGTTTGTTCTACAGTATTTTTCTTGACTACTTCTAGAGCACCTCAAAACACCCCGATTTTCAAAATGTGGGGAGAATAGGCACACAGAGTAGGGTCTGGTGGCCTACTGTCTTTTTTCTATTCTTTTTTTTCCACTATAAGTTCAATTTAAAGCAGAATTCCAGCTGAAAAAAAAAATAAAAGTCAGCAGCTACAAAAACTGTAGCTGCTGACTTTTAAAATACAGACCCTTACCTGTCCCTCGGTCCAGCGGTGTTCTCACCACTGCTGGTTTCACCGGCCGTCTTCTCTCCCTGGCGCCGGCATCTTCAGTGTGGGCACTCGGCTGTGACAGCTTGCGGCTTCACAGCCGGGTGCCCACAGCACCTGTGCGAGAAGTCCTGCGCTTTGTGAATGGCCCCATAGTCTTCTGGGACCTGTCACATTTCCCAGAAGACTATGGGGAGGGAGGGGGGGGGGGGGGACAACTTCCGCTTCTGATCGCTTTAGACAATTGCAGCGGAAGTGGAGGCGGGTACCTGTCAAATTTGGATATCCGCTCCTCAAAGGTGCCAATTCTTAATGGGGAGCGGGGGACAAAGACTTAAAACGGAACTTCCCCTTTTAGGCGGAGTTCTGCTTTAAGTGCTTATGTTTTGGACTTAAGTTTGCATCAAGCAAGTTTACCATTCCTTGTGTAGAGAATTCAATACCCGCTTAATGCAGGTCAGAAGGTGGTCAACTACAGGTACAGTGCCCCTGTCAAATAATTCTGAATGGTCTCAAGTATAACTTAAGCTATATATTTTTTATTTTTCCATCTGTGTTCCATTGGGGAGATTTCCCTTCACTGCCAGCGCTGTAGAGACAACAGGAAGTGAGAGGATTTTTCTCCAATCTAGGGGAAAATTCCCTCTTAGGCAGTTGCCCCTGGCACAAGTGTCCATGTTTCATTTTTTTCTTCTTCAGGTGACTACTCAAAATTTTGGGTTTCTTCCTCACTCTCCCCAATATAGAAACAGAGAGCAATACAAACCTGACAGGGTTACAAATTCCTCACCAATCTATTCAAGACTGAAATAAAGGTTTTGGCATTAGATATTGTTTAGACGTTTTAGAAGAGGAATATACTGATAACCTCAGGGCCCATTTCCATTTATGCGCATTTGTTGGTAATGCACATGCATATATGCAAGTTGACCCTAAAACATTCCTTTGAAAAGCATATTAAACTCCAGTATGCATATGTAAAATATATGCATATAAGAAAGAAAATCATTTTTACTTTAAAATGCATTTTCAAGCAGCCAAATTTGCAGGAAAATAAGCAGGTTTGAATAGGCCCCTAGGGATCTATCCAGCAGGGTAGCCGTCTACACAAGAAATACCAGCACTTTAGTAGGTAAACTATTCTCCCTTTCATTTTATGTGAACCTGTTCCCCGACTGTGAATATTAGTGATACTAAAGGTAAAATTAAATATACTTATCTGCTCTGTGCAATGATATTATACAGCAAGATTGCTTTCCTCCTCTTCTGGCAGTCCCGCTGCTGCTGTCAGCTCCTCCCTCCTTTGAGTGCCTTTTGTAGCAAGCTGAGTGCTAAGGAGGCATCTGCACATGCACAGTTCTGTTGGGTCCTGAGCTGCACTGCGTGTTTTCATAGACACAAAACAGCAGTAAGCTGCTACACCCCTGCTACCTCCTCACAGAAGTTTGATGGCAGCAGGAACCTATGCTCTAAGTTACTCCTGTGTAAGTAGGAAGTGAACGGAGTGATGTTATGGCTGGAGAGAGCACTTGACTGGTGACATGGAGCCAGGTAAGTGTTTAGGGATAGAGGGGTGTAGGATTGTAGCGGGGCATTTTTTTACCTTAATGCAGAGAGTGCATCATGGTAAACAATGTTAATACTTTAGTACCAATTTAAAGTTATTACATATTCTGAACAACTGGTAAAGTACTTTAAGACATGTCCTCATTCATCTTTGTAGCTATGGGCGTTGTGGAGAAATTAATCTTCAGAGTTCATAATAGAGGCAGTGAAATTACAGCTTCTTCCTTCTTATTTTCTAAGACATTCTTCCCGTCTTCCATTGTAATCACACAGCAGGTGCCGTGAGCTGACTTCAGTGTCTTTGTTGTGGTCTTTAAGTGTGCCCAAGAGGGACAGGTGCAGCATCCAGCCCCACTGCAGGCAGCCTACTTTAGATTTTGACAAGCTTCCTGCGGTGGGACTGGATGCTGCAATTGTCCCTCCTGGGTGCACTAAAACGCTGGGAGGAACACACTACAGCTGGACAGTCCCATGTGCAAGAGGTCTTAAGATGAATGACTTCGCTGTACATGCAGTTTGAGAAGTCAGTGAGGGCGTTTTAAATCTCTTTTACTGTTAAAAAAAGTGTTACTAAACCCACAACAGCAAAATCAGTCTGTATATGCAGTAAAGCATGCTTGTGATACTCACTGTGGAACCCAAGAGGTTAATCCTCCGCATTGTGTAAAAAGGCTGTTTGATTCTGTCTTCTCTGATCCTCCCCTTCTTCCATTGTCCCCTAAATATCTCCTGATAGAACAAAGGTCACTCTCAGCACACGTTCAGTTCGGTGTGTATTGCTAGAGAGGTTTTTTTTTTAAATTGGGAGAGTGCATTTGATCAGCACAGGGCCAATCGGCACTGTCTAGACCAGTGGTTTTCAACCTGGGGGTCGAACGACACTTTCACAGGGGTCCCCTAAGACCATCAGAAAACACATACTGTATTTCCGATGTGTAAAGAGCAGCTACTGTGTTGAAAGCAGCTGCTGTGTTGAAAGCAGCTACTCTGTTAAAAGCAGCTACTGTGTTGAAGGCAGCAGTATTGGAGGTAAAACAACACTTCATGAAATATAATTACTATGTAAAGAATTTTATGGTTGGGGGTCACCACAACATGAGGAACTGTATTAAAGCTTCGCAGCATTAGGAAGGTTGAGAACCACTGGTTTAGACAGAGGTCAGTGGTCCTGCATCCTCCTAAAACAGAAAGAAAACCTCTCCTACAAGCTTTAACCAATGCTTTGCTGGTCACAGTCACAAGATTGCTCCAACTGCTGATGAGAAAAGGTATTTAGCAGTTTATATTTACTAAAATAATTGCATTTCCATGTTGTGTGTACTGTGGGAGACCAGATATAGTGAATGCAGGGTCCAGGGTTTAGTAACACTTTAAGAATGTTAGAAATCATCTTCTGGGTACAGGTGCATTTTAAACATAAAATTATCATATTTGACTGGAATTGAACTCCAAACAGCTATAAAGGCAGTTGAAGTACATATACGTAAACTGTGTTACTTGTGTTCTTTTTAATGGATTGATTAGTGAGTTAACCCGATACGTATACTAAACCTGTCCTGTAAAGCTGACATGCTAATTTCAGATGACATTTTACTAAAGCAAATTAAACATGATCGGTTGCTATGAGTTACTGCCTATTCTACTTTTTATTTTTGTCTTATTGATTAGTCACATTTGTTCTGTATGATTCTGGAATCTGTTTTACTAAAATAAAAAATTCTCTCTCAGTAAAATCTATTATTATAGCTAATTCGTTTTTGGATTTTTTTTGTCTCCGCAGTCTCTTTGCCAAAAAGTATCTGGGCACCATGACAGACACGCAGCTGTCACAATATGATCGGATAATTAATAAGCCTAGCAATGACTGGGATATATACTACTGGATCACAGGTACAGCTCCAGCATTGAAGAGGTTGGAGGGAAACTATAATGTATTTTGGTCAGTGTGTGTTTTTAAATTTTGTTGAAAGATTTCCAAACTGATAGTGTTTATATAATTCACATACATTCACATAGTCACCCCTTAAAGTAAAACTAAAGGCCCCTGCATGACAATCCAAACAAGTACCAAGTCCAGGTGCTATATGATGTACAAACCTCATTAAATAAATAAATAAAACTTTATTTACCTTCCCTGATTAAGCCAAATCTTCCTTCATTTATGTCTTACACACTTCCCCTCCCAGACACTGCAGCTCACAGTGGGAGAGTTTTGGCAACAGGGGCAGTGCTGTCAATTCAGAAGGAGTAGGCAGGAGTAGGTGTAGCCATATGGCTGGTTGATAAGGCATAGGCTTGTGAATTAGCAGTGCCAATAATGATAGCTACACCACCTGAAATATTTCTTCATTGATTGTAGTAGAAGCAGGCACAACCTACAAGAGGGTGGCAAATACTCTCTGAATTCAGGAGCGGTGCAGCTTTGTTGTCATATCATCACAGGAAGCTGCATTAGGTGGACTTCAGGCCTAGGTGTTTCATAGGTGTTTATGAGACTTTGCAGGAAGACTGAAAGAAAACTGTTAAGTGCAAATATATAGTAAATAAAAAAAAACAATGTGCGCTATCAAACTAGTGAATAAGCCAGCAACGGCCCGCGGAGCTAGGCTCCCGCTAGGCTCCTCTCACAGTCCGCCCTGAAGACCGGTGTAGCATGAAAATCTGTCTCCTATGAGGATCTGTCCCCCTCGACGTATCTGCGCATGTGCCGGAGATCGCCGATCGGCTGCTAATGCCTGAAACTGGCACATGCGCAGATACGTCGAGGGGGACAGATCCTCATAGGAGACAGATTTTCATGCTACACCAGAACGGCGCGGGAAGACGGCGAGAGGAACACGCGGAGCAAAGGTAAGTGAATTGACACTGGGGGGGACTTGGGGACTTAATATGGGGGATGAATTACTATAGGGGGGATGAATTACTATATGGGGGATGAATTACTATGGGGGATGAATTACTATATGGGGGATGAATTACTATATGGGGGATGAATTACTATATGGGGGATGAATTACTATATGGGGGGTGAATTACTATATGGGGGATGAATTACACTATGGGGGATGAATTACTATGGGGGATGAATTACTATATGGGGGATGAATTACTATAGGGGGGATGAATTACTATAGGGGGGATGAATTACTATATGGGGGATGAATTACTATGGGGGATGAATTACTATATGGGGGATGAATTACTATGGGGGATGAATTACTATATGGGGGATGAATTACTATAGGGGGGATGAATTACTATATGGGGGATGAATTACTATATGGGGGATGAATTACTATGGGGGATGAATTACTATATGGGGGATGAATTACTATATGTGGGACTTGGGGACTTAATATGGGGGATGAATTACTATAGGGGGGATGAATTACTATATGGGGGATGAATTACTATAGGGGGGATGAATTACTATGGGGGATGAATTACTATATGGGGGATGAATTACTATGGGGGATGAATTACTATATGGGGGGATGAATTACTATAGGGGGGATGAATTACTATGGGGGATGAATTACTATATGGGGGATGAATTACTATGGGGGATTAATTACTATATGAGGGATGAATTACTATATGGGGGATGAATTACTATATGGGGGATGAATTACTATGGGGGATGAATTACTATATGGGGGATGAATTACTATGGGGGATGAATTACTATATGGGGGGTGAATTACTATGGGGGATGAATTACTATATGGGGGATGAATTACTATAGGGGGGATGAATTACTATATGGGGGATGAATTACTATATGGGGGATGAATTACTATGGGGGATGAATTACTATATGGGGGATGAATTACTATGGGGGATGAATTACTATATGGGGGATGAATTACTATATGGGGGATGAATTACTATGGGGGATGAATTACTATATGGGGGATTAATTACTATGCTTACTATGGGGGAATATTACTATACTTACTATGGATGACACATACACATCATTCATCTACTCTTGGTCCGGCCCTCGGGTCCAATATATGAACCCATTGCGGCCCTCAAGTCAAAAAGTTTGCCCACCCCTGGAATAAGCTAATAAAATAGAGCCGCTGTAGTAACACTCAGAAAGTGATCCCACACTTAAAACATAAAACATACATAAATAGTGTTGCGCTAACTCATATAGACGTAAAAGTCCATAAACAGATTCAAACGTGACAGTTCAATCAAAATATGAAATATAAATATACATATAAAGTGCTTGAATGGTGAAAATCAAATAAGGTGCTTGAATGGTGAAGAATCACTACGATGTGCACTGGATAAATAAAGTCTATTTGAAAAACACGGTGCTCCACCTTAAATCAATGTTCCTCCTCCTAAAAAAATATATATGGATGGCCACTCACCTCCTACTGTGGACCCATAAATTAAAACGGAGTTCACACTCACCCTGTTAAAAAATAAAATTCAGCAGCTACAAAAACTGTAGTAGCTGCTGACTTTTAAAAACAGCCACTTACCTGTCCCTCGGTCCCATGGTGTGTCCCCCGCAGCCCGTTTCACCGGCCGTCCTGTATTCCAGGAGGCCAGCATCTTCAGTGTGGGCACCCGGCTGTGACTGCTTACGGCTTCACACCCGGGTACCCACTGCGTATGCGCGAGTAGCGCTGCGCTTCATGAATGGTCCTGTAATCTTCTGGAACCTGTCACTTGTCCCAAAAGACTACAGGGAGGGAGGACACCTTCCGTTTCCGGTCGCCTAGGTGATTGGACCGAAAGTGGGAGCGGGTACCTGTCAAATTTGGATACCCACTGCCCGCCCCGCAAAGGTGCCAATCCTTAATGGGGAGCTGGGGAGAAGTCCTTAAAGCGGATCTTCCCCTTTTGGGTGGAGCTCCGCTTTAATACAGGTCAACCAAGATTGGTAATTACAAAACAATGTTCTAGATGGCAGCAGAGAGCTGATGACAGGCACTCCTTCAATGACAGTATAAAGGGGACTCTTCTCAGCTTAACTCCACATATTGAAAGAACACAGGACATCTCCCATAGTGTAATATTGTTTTAATTCCACATAAAATAATTCCAGCATGATAGAAGCAGTAAAATAGTGATTTGTAAGTCAAAAGTCCCGCTCTGTAAAAAGCCAGCAATTATGTCATTAGGCTCCGTCCCCACGCGTTACGCCACCAACCATGTGGCTTAGTCAGGGAAAAGCCTGCCTGATGTTCACACCCTTATGTGCATCTAGGTAACCATGACTACCGTTCCTGCTCTGTTCTGTAGAGCCTGCAACATCGCTGGATGTCACATTTCACATGGAACAAAAACGTTTTATCATAATTCACAAACAATTCTACCTAAATTTATTACACAACAATATTATTATAAAATAAAAACTTTAAAAAGATCGAAAAAAAGTTAAAAAAATCCTATGATCCTGTACAGTCCCATCTTGTGGTCAAAAAGTATAACATCACCCAACTAAAAAATGTATTATTATAATTCATTATATTGCATACTTAACACTAATCATATTAATATTAATCATTTTATTATTTATCAATATTGATTAATATGATTAGTGTTAAGTATGCAATATAATGAATTATAATAAATTTTTTAGTTGGGTGATGTTATACTTTTTGACCACAAGATGGGACTGTACAGGATCATAGGATCTTTTTAACTTTTTTTCGATCTTTTTAAAATTTTTAATTTATAATAATATTGTTGTATAATAAATGTAGGTAGGATTGTTTGTGAATTATGATAAAACGTTTTTGTTCCATGTGAAAGGTGACATCCAGCAATGTTGCAGGCTCTACGGAACAGAGCAGGAATGGTAGTCATGGTTATCTAGATGCACATAAGGGTGTGAACGTCTTGGGGCGGGCTTTTCCCTGACGAACCACATGGTTGGTGGCGTAACGTGTCGGAGGCTAGTGACGTCATTGCCGGCTTTTTACAGAGCGGGAGTTTTGAATTGCAAATTGCTATTTTACTGCTTCTATCATGTGAGCGACACTCTGGAATTATTTTATGTGGAATTAAAACAATATTACACTATGGGAGATGTCCTCTGTTCTTTCTATATGTGGAGTTAAGCTGAGAAGAGTCCCCTTTATACTGTCATTGAAGGGGTGCCTGTTATCATCTCTCTGCTGCCATCTAGAGCATCGTTTTGAAATTACCAAGCTTGGTTGACCTGTAATAATTTATCGGTCCACAGTAGGAGGTAAGTGGCCATCCATATATATTTTTAGGTGGAGGAACATTGATTTAAGGTGGAGCACCGTGTTTTTCAAATAGACTTTATTTGTCCTGAGCACATCGTAGTGATTCTTTACCATTCAAGCACCTTATTTGATTTTCACCACTCAAGCACTTTATATATATATATATATATATATATATATATATATATATATATATATATATTTATATCTCATATTTTGATTGAACTATCATGTTTGAATCTGTTTATAGACTATTATGTCTATATGAGTTAGCGCAACACTATTTATGTATGTTTTATGTAAGTGCAAATATACTTACAATTCAAGTGGTTGTACAGGCAGAAGGTTTTTTGCATAAAGGTAAAAAACCTTCTTTGTGCTGCTCCCTCCAAAGCCCCCCAAAATGCTCCCCTCTCAATCCAGCGATGTGCACGAGAGACTCCCTGTCTTCATTGTCTGAGACAGCAGCGGGAGCCATTGGCTCTCACTGTTGTCACTCACAGACAATGAGACAATAAGGGGGGGTTGAAGGTTCAAGCTGCCGGTCTATGTATCTTATGGACGCATAGAGCTGGGCTCAAGAGTGAGCATGCACTAATGCTTCCATAGCAAGCGGCTTGCCCTTGGAGCGCCGGCGGGGTACATGAAAGTAAGAAAATTGGGGCTGCTCTGTACAAAACCACAGCAGGTGAGTATGACTTGTTTTTTTTTTTTTAATTCAAATCTTTAATTCCACTTTAAAGTGATTCTAACGGTAATTTAAAATAACAAACATATCATACGTACCTGCTATGTGTAATGGTTTTGCACAGAGCAGCCCTCATCCTCCTCTTCTGGGGTTCCCTGCCAACGCTCCTTGCTCCTCTCCCCTTCTGAGTTACCCCATAGCAACCCTTTTGCTATGGGGGTACTCCTGGGGGCTAAATCATAACTGCATCTTTGAATATCTTCATATTTTAAATGACCACTTTAAGCCTAGTACACACAATTATAAAAATAAAATTAAAAAAAACTTTTCGGAATTACCGTCCGATAATCTGATTGTTGGTACACAGCTTTTGAGAGCTTTTCATGACAATTCATGCAAAATTATCCAAAGGGACCAGTACAACATTTTTTCTCATAAGATACAATATTCATCTGTAAAAAATCGAGTGACCAAAACTGTGTATGTTCGGAAACGAAAGAATACAATACATTGAAATACTTCATTGCAGGAAGTTGTATTCTGTTTTACGAGAATTTTCGTAACTCATAATCTCTTTGCTTTCTATATGAGACTAGCATTGGAAAGCAAAAAACAGATGATCATTCATCCAATATTCTCATTGTGTGTACCAGGCATTAGAGGGAAAATTGGTTGACCTGTTTAAAACTTGCTTACCAGTTGCTAATTTTTGTGACAAAATGGTGCTGCTGTCGATGTGTTTGCTGAATGCTTAGACATGCACACATTTATGAGTTTATTGGCCCATGTATATTAAAAAAAAAAAAAGTTGTGGATATGCCATTTGATTTAATTTAGTTGCTTTTTTTTTCTCCCTAAGGGCTCGTTCACACTAGGCTGTTTTGCCAACGCTTGCCAAACGCCCCTATAGCGTTTGGCAAGCGTTGGTCCGGCGTTTGCGGAGCGTTTTTTAACGCTCGGCAAACGCTCCGCAAACGCCGCATGCGCGGTTTAGCGGCGGTTGCTAGGCGTTTGCCGAGCGTTAATAACGCCCCACAAACGCCTATAATGCAGTTTGAGTGGTGTTACCGCTCCGCAAACGCCCCGCAACCGCGTCGCAACCGCACCGCAAACGCCGGCCGGGCGTTTGCGGAGCGGCACCATAGACGAGAATAGGAGGCTTCAAAGCCTCCTGACTCGTCCAGAGGCGTCCGTTTTGCCGCCGCAACGCGACGCGACGCAAACGCTCCCGTTAGAACAGCACCATGTGCTGTAATGTGCAGAATTGGCAGAGGCGTTTGGGAAGCGGTAAAAACGCTTCCCAAACGCCTCTCTGCCGCCTGCACACAAGGCTAGTGTGAACGTAGCCTTAGTACGTTTTTTTTTCTTTTACAGGAGCTCAGGAACCCCCTGCGGAGTTCAACAATGAGATTATGGATCTGCTTCAAGAATATGCCAAGAATCGGGAAATGGAGCAACGTCTCAGGCAGCCAGACCTGGATTATCTCTTCAAAGAGTCCCAGTGACTTAGATTCTGTATCAGTGCTCACTGAACTGGCTATCCATATAAAGGACTGTCATCTGATACAAGCTCATATTGCTGGTGCATGGACAGACATTTCAGCAGTTACAGTGTACAGTCTGAGTGTTCAATGCAGCTGCTCAGTTCTATTCCATGACAAAGAATATTCTCCTCCTAACTATAAGCTCAAACAATGGACATTTCCCTGTGTTCAGGACTATACACCCAACATTAAGGATCTCTGGTAATTAACATAACACATATGCTTCTAATTTTATCACAAGAGAAATCCAGATTTCAATTTTTAAAAATTACAGACTAGCTTGAGAATCTGGCCTAAATACAATTCCAGAAAATACATATATGCTGCAGTTGCTCTACAACAAAATGTTATAGCCATGTGTGGACTAAGCTACAGTATGTGTATACGAGATTATAGGGAGAGTGTGGTGTAGGACTTTTGCAGAACTGTCAGATTAATTTCTGAAATGAAGTGGAACTATCAAAAAAATATTATTGCACATGTACTATTGTATTAAAGATACATGACCTTAAATTAAAAAAACTGATCTTCAAGAACTACGGATGATAGTTTTTTTTTCTTTACACTACTTTATAAATCAGATTTTTAAATTGAATTTTAGTTTTAAACACACAGCCTCATGAGCGGCACTTTACACACAACAAAATAAGAAAGGTATTCAACTATATATTGACAATTCAAGTAATCCAAACAGTCATTAATAATAATTTCCATAAACATATGGATACCTGTAATCAGCAGACTTTGGCTCGTTAGCAAGGTGAAGAACACTTCAATAACATAAAATTACAGCCATCAATTCATTTATATTTTCCAAGTAAAGAAGGTACACTGTATAAGGGTGAACCAATAGATATATAATAACCGTAACCTGACTCAACTTAACTTGCACAAATAGACCAGAATGCTGATCGGTTTCATATGTCTCATTGCAGCATGACCTTTCCAAGAAAGTATACCAAGACTTAACATATGTGCTCTGTAGTCAAAGGGACAGTAGCCTGTCTGAGATCAGGAGAAATGGAGCCAGACCAGGTACTGCCAGCCAAGGTGTCCATAATCTATCACATTCTCAGGTAAATTCCTATGCTGATATATGAGCTTTTCATGGGAAATAACAATATTAACGTGCTTAGAACACATCCATTTTTGGGGAATCACTTTCTGTGCCATGTAAAGTAATTGAAGTATAGAATCTACTGCCTTGTCGGGCACTATTGAGTCAGCAAAGATATAAAGAAGACACAATTTAAGATCTAGCAATAGTGGTTTGATATATGAAGGATATAAGAGATCAGGGGCGGACTGACAACTCATGGGGCCCCTGGGCAATAGGGGATCATGGGGCCCCTGTGTCCTTGCCCAAACTCAAAAAAGCCTATGAAAAAGGTACCAGGGGCATCTCATGGGGCCCCCTACTGACCCTGGGCCCTCGGGCAGTGCCCGAGTTTCCAAATGGTCAGTCCGACCCTGTAAGAGAGACACTACTTTATAGGCTGCTGTTTTGAATATCAGCTTTTATACAACATTTGTGTTCTACAATTCATTCAGTTAACAAGTTTTCACTCATCAAAAGGGATGATGATATACCTTGTATGACACACAGCACCCAGATACAGTATTTCCCATGTTTAAAAGTAGGTAAAAGGAAGATTAGGGCCTTCAGGACAACTACCAGAGGAGTAAAAAACTTAAAAGGTTATATTTTCAAATCTGCTTTATTAACCTAGCTATGTAAGACATAAGTTTACCCTTGCAGGTGGGGGGTGGTGAGGTAAAAACAGGTGGTTATGCCACGTTTTTAGGCCCCCCCAGACACAAAGGCAGCCGTAAAGGGTAGAAACATGCCACATCCACAAAGAAAAAATGATCCCCACTGTTACATTCAGCAGGCAGTGCCACCACAGATTGCTCTTCAGAGGGCTGATGCACAGATCCCCTGCTGATCAGAGCTGACCCCACTATATGTGAAAGAGCCCTTAATGTCCGTTCACATATATGCGGATTGGATACGGTTTGAACCGCATGAAACAACATTCCTTCCTATGGTGCCTGTTCACATATGTCTGGTGCACTGGTAGTGCAGAATCAGTGCGGTTTTAAAAAGAGTCGTGTCCGATTTCTGAGCAGTGCCTTCAGGTTCAGGTGCGGATTACAGGCTATTGACTTCTATGTGAACCATTTCTAAGCTGCATATATGTGAACAAGATAAGATCCTGAGCTAGTCCTGTCGTGAACCTGACATGAACCTGTGAACAACTACTGTATAAATTAGCTGTGAAACCTGAGTTTAATGCCTGTTCATGTATATCAGATTGGATGTCCGATTTGATGAGCAGTTCAGTCCGCATGACATGTGCGGATTACGCATTGCTTCTATGGGAACTGTTTCACAACTGCATATATGTGAACAAGATAAGGTGAGCTAGTCCTGTCGTGATGACATGATTCAGTGAACAACTTTGTAAAAGCTGTGAAACCTGAGCTTAAGTGCCCGATCATATATATGCAGATTGGATGCGATTTGAACCGCATTCAGTCCGTGACATGTGAAATCGCATTGCTTCCTATGGTGCCTGTTTACTGTATGTCTGGTGCATGCAGTGCAGACAGTGCGGAAAAAATCAATTAGCTGATGAAAGTCCTGAGCTTCAGTCTGCAACACCTACTTTATCAATCCGCACCGCACATGTGTGAACCAGCAGCTTCAGTCTGCACCGCACATGTGTGAACCAGCACTCAATCTGCACTGCACATGTGTGAACCAGCACTCAATCTGCAACGCACATGTGTGAATCAGCACTCAATCTGCACCGCACATTTGTGAACCAGCACTCAATCCGCACCGCACATGTGTGAAGCAGCACTCAATCCGCACTGCACATGTGTGAACCACCACTCAATCCGCACCGCACATGTTGGATTCATTACTCTGCACTGCACATGTGTGAATCAGCACTCAATCTGCACCACACATGTGTGAATCATTACTCAATCTGCACCGCACATGTGTGAATCAGCACTCATTCTGCACCACACATGTGTGAATCAGCACTCAATCCGCACCGCACATGTATGTACCAGTACTCAATCTGCACCGCACATGTGTGAATCAGCACTCAATCCGCACCGCACATGTATGAACCAGCACTCGATCTGCACTGCACATGTGTGAACCAGCACTCAATCCACACCGCACATGTGTGAACGAGCACTCAATCCGCGCAGCACATGTGTGAACCAGCACTCAATCCACGCAGCACATGCGTGAACCAGCACTCAATCCGCGCAGCACATGTGTGAACCAGCACTCAATCCACGCAGCACATGTGTGAACCAGCACTCAATCCGCGCAGCACGTGTGAACCAGCACTCAATCCGCGCAGCACATGTGTGAACCAGCACTCAATCCGCGCAGCACACGTGTGAACCAGCACTCAATCCGCGCAGCACACGTGTGAACCAGCACTCAATCCACACCGCACACGTGTGTGAACCAGCACTCAATCCGCACAGCACATGTGTGAACCAGCACTCAATCCACACAACACGTGTGAACCAGCACTCAATCTGCACAGCACATGTGTGAATCAGCTTTGTGTGCCTTCATTCACAGAACAATCTCCTTCTAGTGTAAATGTTACAATTTATTTACATTCCTGAGCTCGGGACAGAACATTTCCACACTGATACATTGTATACGTTTAACTTACTGGCCAGTGCAGAGTTCTCATAATTTTGTACATTCCTAAAATATTGGCTTCCTGCACCATGGGATAAATAATGAATGGGGTTTTTTATTATAAGCTTACCTGTAGGTAAAAATCAAAATGGAAACGTTACTACCACCTTAAATATCACTAAAAGCTGGAGATCAGCTTTAACAATGCACTTCTCTTATTTGTTCTCTGGTCTGTTAAATATACAGCACTATAGAAAGTGTTTTGTATAATCAGTCCATAAAGGTAAAAAAAAACTTAAGAAAAGTTATGAATTGCTCTACAGTGAAAATATATAAAAAAAGGTAGAGGTAGATAGGTGTAGAAATGCCCCTACGATTGTGGTTGGTAGAAGTAAAGCAGTGCCCTAAAAACAGTGGTCAGTAGGAATAATAAATGCCCCTATGTCAATGGTCAGTAGGAGTAATAGATGCCCCTATGTCAACGGTCAGTAGAAGTAATAAATGCCCCTATGTCAACGGTCAGTAGGAGTAATAGATGCCCCTATGTCAACGGTCAGTAGGAGTAATAGATGCTCCTATGTCAACGGTCAGTAGGAGTAATAAATGCCCCTATGTCAACGGTCAGTAGGAGTAATAAATGCTCCTATGTCAACGGTCAGTAGGAGTAATAAATGCTCCTATGTCAACGGTCAGTAGGAGTAATAAATGCCCCTATGTCAACGGTCAGTAGGAGTAATAAATGCCCCTATGTCAACGGTCAGTAGGAGTAATAAATGCCCCTATGTCAACGGTCAGTAGGAGTAATAAATGCTCCTATGTCAACGGTCAGTAGGAGTAATAAATGCCCCTATGTCAACGGTCAGTAGAAGTAATAAATGCCCCTATGTCAACGGTCAGTAGGAGTAATAAATGCCCCTATGTCAACGGTCAGTAGGAGTAATAATAGATGCTCCTATGTCAACGGTCAGTAGGAGTAATAAATGCTCCTATGTCAACGGTCAGTAGGAGTAATAAATGCTCCTATGTCAACGGTCAGTAGGAGTAATAAATGCTCCTATGTCAACGGTCAGTAGGAGTAATAAATGCTCCTATGTCAACGGTCAGTAGGAGTAATAAATGCCCCTATGTCAACGGTCAGTAGGAGTAATAAATGCCCCTATGTGTCAACGGTCAACGGTCAGTAGGAGTAATAAATGCCCCTATGTCAACGGTCAGTAGAAGTAATAATGCCCCTATGTGTCAGTAGAAGTAGTAATAATGCCCCTATGTCAACGGTCAG